GGGGCGGGGGGGGGGGGCGGTGTCTGGTGAGTGGGGCCAACCAGGACGGCCAAGTAGCGCCTCACCTTCTCAGGCTGCCCCCTTAAGTGTTGGTCTCATCTGAGCCCGCAGGGGTCTTTCAGTCCCAAGTGAGGGCTCTATTCTGGTCCGACCCCCAGGCCTGAGTGTCCCCTCTCCTCCCCCAGGTATGCCCCAGAGTGTCTGAAGGAGTGTAAGTTCTACTATGCGTCTGACGTCTGGTCCTTTGGGGTCACCCTCTATGAGCTGCTGACATACTGTGACTCCAGCCAGAGCCCCCCCTCGGTGAGAAACAGGGCCCTCCCCCCCCAGAGAGTGCTAGAGGAATTAGACGAATTCACAGCCAGATGCAGTGGCTCAAGCCTGTAATCCCAGCACTTTGGGAGGGAGAGGTGAGAGAGGATTGCCTGAGCTCAGGGTTTGAGACCAGCCTGGGCAACTGGGCAAGACCTCGTTTCTACAATAAATTAAGAAATTATCCAGGCATGGTGGCGTGCACCTGTAGTTCCAGCTACTTGGAAGGCTGAGGCAGGATTGCCTGAGCCCAGCAGTGAAGGCTTTGGTGGCTGAAAATGTGCCACTGCACTCCAACCTGGGTGACAGTGAGATTCAAAAAAAAAAAGAACGAATTCACATCCCAGATCCTCACCCTGGCAAGCGCTTTCCCTATCTGAGCCTCACAGTCCTGATCTGGAAAATGAGCCACTTACAGTGCAGGGGCTTTGATTGTGACAAAGCTGACATAGGCAATATAGGAACAGCTTATTCTGCTATGTATAAACTCCATGAGGGGGTGGGGGCACAGCCTGGATCCTGAGCCCTTAGATGCCATCAGGAATCCTATTCTGACCATTTGTCGGTTCTGCTGTTCTCTGTGGAAACATCTGTCAGAAATGGCCTCTTTCTGCCCCGGCCACCATGCCCCAGCCTTCTAGGCACTTGTGTCCCAGCTGAGGGGACCAGCAGGCCTCTTTCCAGCAGAGTACCTGGGGCCTTCTCTGATTGGCCCAACTGGGCTCATGTGTCCACCTCAGAGATAGTCACTGTGTGGTTAGCCACAGTGATTGGCCAGGCCTGGGCTGGGGGGAGGAATCAAGAGTGTGTTAAGAGTTTATCCCCCAAGCCGGGCTCAGTGGCTCAGCCTGTAATTCCGCGCTTTGGGAGGCTGAGCTGAGTGGATTGCCCAGGCAACTTGGTGAGACCTCATCTCTACAATAAATCAAAAAATCAGCTGGACATGGTAGTACATGCCTGTAATTCCGGCTACTCAGAAGGCTGAGGCGGAAGCATCGCCAGAGCCCAGCAGGTCTAGGCGACAGAGTGAGACTCCAACTCAAAAAAAAAAAAAAAAAAAAAGAGTTTATCTCCCAAACCAGAGTGCCTTTATAGAAGAAAAAAAGATTGGCTAGGTAAGAACAACCTGCTGCGAGGCTTGGCTCAGGCTTACTCTGAGACTGACTCGCACAGTGACCCCAGGTAGTAGGTGTTATTATCACTCCATTTTACGGATGAGAAAACAGACCCAGAGAAGGAAAGTCCAAAGTCATAGCTGAGCAGTAGGGATGGGACTAGAACCTGCACGATGGTGCTCTGTGCCCTTGACCTCCACCGGCTCTCCATGGCTTCTTGAAAAGAGCTTGTCTTGTTTCTACTACAGAAATTTATTGAGCTCATAGGCCTTACCCAGGGTGAGATGATGGTGCTGAAACTCACAAGGCTGCTGGAACGAGGGGAGAGGCTGCCGCGGCCCAACAGATGTCCCCAGGAGGTGAGACCCCTGCCTCTGCCCTGCCCTGCCGTTGCATCGTGACAGGGCAACCACCACCAGCCCAGCTTTGCTTTTTAGATCTACCTTCTCATGAAGAACTGCTGGGAGACAGAGGCTTCCTTCCGGCCGACCTTCCAGAACCTCGTGCCCATCCTCAAGACGGCCCAGGAGAAGTACCAGGGCCAGGCCCCGTCGGTGTTCAGCGTGTGCTGAGACCTGAGAGGGGTGTCAAACTCACCCCCTGTGCCTTCCTCCTGTCCCGAGGCCCCGCTTCTGTTAACTGACTGTCCTTCCCTGGCCTTGAACCTGCCTGTGACCCTAAAGGACCCAGGCAGGCGGAGGAGGGAGAAATGAGGTCCTTGAATCCCCCAGCTCCCGGCTAAGACCCACCCTCTCCACTCACGGTAATGAACTCCTGTTTCCTCCGCTGGATCTGAGGTCCCTGGGCCTTGCCTCGGCTGGTGGGTTGAAAGGGTCTACTCCACTGGGGATAGCAGCTAGTGTGTAACACCACATAGGTCACTGACTTCAGCTATTCGGCTTCTGCTTATCTCTAAACCACCAGCTAGATCAGTGCCCGGTACACAGAAGGCGCTCAATAATGACTTGTTCCTTATACAGAGTATTGAGAGGGGCACGCCACATAGATAAGACTGCTCAGGGTCACCCTTTTACATTCCTGTGTGACCTCAGGCAAATGGCTTAACTTCTCTGGGCCTCGGTTTGCAACTGTCAGACGGTCATGCCGGCTACCTCCTAGGACCCATGTCAAGAGCTCATGAGGTGTTTGCCAAACGCTTGGCAGAAAGACATGTACACAAGTGCTTAGTAAATGTTCAGTATGATTGTTGCTCTGGTGTTGGCCAAAGTTTTTATTTAACGGTTGTGACTTGAGACAGATTATGGAGTCAGACACATTTGTGAAGGGCACTTAAATAATTTTTCTGTCTGGCTACAGTGGCTCAAGCCTGTAATCCCAGCACTTTGGGAGGCCGGTGTGAAGGAATTGTCTGAGCCCACAGGTTCAAAAACTGCCTGGGCAACTTGGTGAGACCTCGTCTCTACAATAAATCGAAAAATTAGCTGGGCATGGTAGTGCACACCTGTGGTTCCGGCTACTTAGACCTGAGGTGGAAGGATCGCCTGAGCCTAGCAGTTCAACACTGGGGTGGCCATAAGCATGCCACTGCACTCCAGCCTGGGAAACGGAGTGAGACTCCAACTCAAAACAAAAAAAAATTTTTTCCTCAAGAAGGACTCCTGTGGGCTTTCTGCCTGCAGTTGTCCTGATGCAATTCTTCCTCAGTATTATAATGACAGTTGTTCCATTGCTTTTTTGTTTGTTTTTGGTAGAGACGGGGTCTCACTCTGTTGCCCAGGCTGGAGTGCAGTGGTCCCATCATGCTCCACTGTAGCCTCAACCTCTTAGTTCAAGTGACCTTCCTGCCTCAGCCTCTCCAGTAGCTGGGACTACAGGCACACACCACCATACCCAGCTAACTTTTTAGATTTTTTCTCTTGTTTTTTGATAGACACGAGGTCTTGCTGTGTTGTCCAGGCTGGTCTCCAGCTCCGGGCCTCAAGCAATCCTCCCACCTCAGCCTCCCTAAGTACTGGGATTACAGATTTGAGCTACTGCACCTGGCCCAAAGTGCTCCCTACAAGAGAATCGATTTGTCAGAAGGTGCACACAACTCCCTCGGGGCTGGGTGAGGCCTTCCCAGGAGCTCAGGAACCAGCCCCATGTGCCATCTGACCCGTCCCTGTCTGATTTTGTTATCATCAGCCTCAAGGAAGTGCAAGGTTTCCACCTTTGGGTGTTTCCCCAGCCACAGGGGTACAGGGATTGGTAGGACACTTGTCAGGAACGCCTGCTTCCTGGGAGCAAAGCTGAAATGGGGTCATGGTGTGAGAGGCTGGGGCCCAGGTGAACTGAGACCAGCCGTGCTTACTAATGGGCAGAGTGACGGACAAGGCTCCCACATCCCAGGCTTCTCCTCAGTCTCACCTGGCCACATTGCCCAGGGCTGCCGGAGAGAAGGGTGTGAGGCCTCCGTCGGAAGGGAGGGCTATGAGAAACAGAGACGACAGCTATGCCCAGGAGAGAGCCTGACAGGTCTCCTGTCCTGCAGGGTTCAAGGACAATGGGACGACCTCCCAAGCCCGAGAGAGGCCAGCATCATCAGAGCTATGGGATCCAACTCAGGTTGAAGAAGGTTTTTTTAGTTTTTTTGTAAAGATGAGCTCTTGGGCTAGGCATGGTGGCTCATGCCTATAATCCCAACACTTTGGGAGGTTGAGGTGAGAGGATTGCCTGAGTCCATGGGTTCAAGACCAGCTTGGGCAACTTGGGGAGACCCGTCTCCACAATAAATCAAAAAATTAGCCAGGTGTGGGGATGCGTGCCCATAGTTCCAGTTACTTGGAAGGTTGAGGCGGAAGGATCACCTGAGCCCAGCAAGTCGAGGCTGCGGTGACTGTGAGTGTGCCACCGCACTCTAGCCTGGGCAACAGAGTGAGACTCCAACTAAAATAAAAATAAATAATTTTTTTAAAAAAGACATGGTCTTACTATGTTCCCTGGGCTGGTCTCGAGCTCCTGGCCTCAAGTGATCTTGCCTCAGCCTCCCAAGAAGCTGGACATGAGCCACCGTGCCTAGCTCGATAATTGCTTTGTTTTTGTTTTTGTTTTTGAGTTGGAATCTCACTCCATCGCCCAGGCTGGAGTGCAGTGGCACACTCATGGCCGCCCCAGCATCAACCTGCTGGGCCCTAGCGATCCTTCCGCCTCAGCCTTCTAAGTAGCCAGAACTACAGGTGCATGCTACCATGCCTGGCTAATTTTTTATTTGTTGTAGAGACAAGGTCTTGCCAAGTTCCCCGGTCTGATCTAGAACCCACGGGCTCAGGCAGTCCACTCGCCTCAGCCTCCCACAGTGCTGGGATTACAGACTAAGCCCCTGAGCCTGGCTGATAGTTACTTTGAATAACTTTTTCCGAAATTAAATATTCATTATAATTTGAAATCTTGCCTGGCTCGGTGGCTCAGCCTGTAATCCCGCGCCTTTGAGAGGCTGAGGTGAGTGGATTGCCTGAGCCCGCGGGTTTGTGACCTGCCTTGGCAACTTGGCGAGACCTCATTTCTACAATAAGGCAAAAATAAGCTGGGTGTGGTAGCGCGTGCCTGTAATTCCGGTTATTCGGAAGGCTGAGGCAGAAGGATCGCCGGAGCCCAGCAGGTCGAGGCTGC